TTCCCCTCCCAACCAGTGGCCTGAGGCAGGGGTGCAGGTTTTAGTTCTCAAAAAGGAGTGGGGAAGGTTTTAAAGTGATAAAAAAAAAAATATTTTTGCCATTTTTTTTTTCAGGCCATTCCCTCTGTAACAAAACTGCATTTTCCTGGAAACAGAAGGTATCTAGCTCCCTTTCCATGTCTCTCTTCCTGCCTCCTTCCCTGAAAAATTAGAACCAGAAAAGTAGAGCTAAGGGTGGGAAGGGCGATTACCAAAAAAGCCCAGAAAACTAAAAGATGAGACCTCTTCCCACCTTCTAGTCCCCCAGGCCAAAGCCCATGGTTCTTGGACCAAGAGGAGAAGACCACCAAGCAGTCCAATATGATGTTGAGGTTTTAACTGTACCTGAGCGGGCTGGATTTCAGTATCAGAAAATGATGAGAAAGCTCTGGGTTCTGCCCAAAATAAGTTCAGAGTTCAGAAAAGAAGATTAAACAGACATGCTGAGGACGGAGATTGTTACCAAAAGTTCGGCGCTTGTCCCAGAGGCCACATCAGAAGAAAGAGGACAAGTGGCTTGAGGAGAGGGAAAGAGTTTACTAATTTGCTGGCAAAGGAGGAGGTTGGCTGACTCCCGTCTCAAAGTGCCACCATCCTGCTTCAGAGCAGAATGACAGAGCTCCTAAAGGCTCTAATCAACCCCATCTTTGGCTAAAACAATCTCCTGACCTCCTCCTGGACACTTCCCTTGAGCCGTCTCCTGTGGCACCAAGAACAAAGGACACTCCCCTGCCCCTCCCGGCCACCGGCCTGAGGCAGCGGTGCAGGTCCTAGTTCTCCAAAAGGACTGGGATGTCTTAAACAGACATAACACATTTTTGCCGTTTTTTCAAGCCATTTCTTCTGTGACATATTCCCCCCCTCAACATTGCTGTTCCATACCTGTGGGAGGAGGGGCAACTACTTTGTCACAAGACTGGAGATGTTATCTACCCCATTTCATGTTTACTCCCCACCTGGTTTGGACTGTGGATAATCATCAACATGCAGCCCCCTCCTTGCAGCTCAGGCCTCAGCCCCTCTTCCCCTGGGTCTCTGACCCCCGGCCACCAGCCTGGACTGGTCAGGACAATAGTGGAAATTTGCAGTGAAGCAGTCAGACTCTGAAGAGAAGGTGAAGACAAAGAAGCCACAGGGAGGGGGGGTGAATAAGAAAGTTCGCTGGACTCTGTGAACTAAAATAAAATCTTAAGGCTCAGCCCCCCACCAGCTGACTGAATGGACCCCCTCATGGCCAAAGGAATATCTTAAAACTAAATTGCCTGCCATGAGGAGGGAGGTCAGACAGGCCTCATCATGCCCCCCTCCCTTCTTGGGGACATCCTTTGTAACTCATTAGCAGGCCTAAGGGTATGCAAGACAAACCTGCAGGTCCTAAATTTACACAACAAATCTATGTCAGGTGACTTATCTCTGATAACAGCTCTTACGTTAAAACATTCCAAACCTTCAGACAAAGCTTCATATCTTTAACCAATTACAAGTCAAGGAATCTTTAAACCCACCTGTAACCTGTAAGCCCCCACTTTGAGATGGCCCACCTTTTTAGGCCAAACCAATGTATGCCTCACATGTATTGATTTATGACTTTATGACTTTACTTGTAACCCCTGTCTCCCTGAAATGTATAAAACCAAACTGTGACCCAGACACACCGAGTCCACTTGCTCAAGGTTTTTTGGGCATGGCTCTGGGTCATGGTCCTCAAATTTGACTCAGAGTAAATCTCTTTAAAATTATTTTATAGGCCATGGTGGCTCATGCCTGTAATCCTAGCACTGTGGGAGGCCGGAGCGGGAGGATGGGAGTATCGCTCAAGGTCAGGAGTTCAAAACCAGCCTGAGCAAGAGCGAGACCCTGTCTCTACTAAAAATAGAAAGAAATTAATTGGCCAACTAAAAATAAACAGAAAAAAATGAGCCAGGCATGGTGGCACATGCCTGTAGTCCCAGCTACTCAGGAGGCTGAGGCAGGAGTCTTGCTTGAGCCCAGGAGTTTGAGGTTGCTGTGAGCTAGGCTGACGCCACGGCACTCTAGCCTGGGCAACAGAGTAAGACCTTGTCTGAAAAAAAAAATTTTTTTATAGAGTTTGGCTTTTTTTTTTCTGTTAACAACTCTAAGCACTGTCAAAAAAAAGTAGCCAAACTCTACAATAATAGAAAGAGGTTTATTAGAACCCAAATTTGAGGACCATGGCCCAGAGCCACACCCAAGAAGTCTTGAGTAAGTGGACTCACTATGGTTGGGTTACAGTTTGGTTTTATACATTTCAGGGAGACAGGAATTGCACATAAAATTGTAAATCGATACATGGAAGGCATACATTCTTTTGGCCCAAAAAAGTGGGACATCTCAAAGTAGGAGGGCTTACAGGGTATAGGTGGGTTTAAAGACTCTGATTTGTAATTGGTTAAAGAAATGAAGCTTTGTCTAAAGGTGGGAATGTTTTAAGTTAAGATAAGGAAGTCTGTTAGTCAGAGACTAGCCACTGGCCATATACCCAGACTCAAGTGATTTGTTACGGAAATGAGGTTTGTCTCACAGCCTTAGGCCGGGAGATGAGTTACAAAGGATGTCTATGAGAAGGGAGGGGGCGTGATGAGGCATGCCTGACCTCCCTTCTCATGGCCAGCAACTCAGTTTTAGGGTCCCCTTGGCTAAGAGGGTGTCCATTCAGTCAGGTGGGGGGAGCTTAAGATTTTATTTTGGTTCACAGCACACCGAGCAGGGCTTCTTCTCACCCACTGCATTGAACTTCGTTCATGGATGCCTCATCTGTTGTAGAGCAGTAGCTCCTGGGGACCGCCAGCACCCAAGCCTCTGGGTCCCCTGTGACTAGTACGGCCCACCCAGGGTCTGCCCCTGGCTCATCTCGGGCAATGCCTGTTGAATGTTAGCAGCACATGGTGACGTCTCTGATCACATCCGGGGGGCCATGGCCTCGGTTTCCAGTGCCACCCACCTGGGGTTTGGCTTCCAGCCACAGACTGAGTATCTGCACAGGACAACTGGGAACAAACTCGGCAATGGGTAATTAAGCAGATTAGTCAGTGCAGACGTGTTCACAAAAGCCAGGCGGAATCGATGGGGCGCCGATCCATTAGCATCCTGTCCCTAATGGCCTCAGCTGCTCCCAGAGCTGGCGGCTCCTCTGAGAGCAAACCCCACCTCCCTGCGCCCCGGCTGGGATCGGTGCTGAGCGGGGCTGGCAGGGATACAGCTAGCGACTGCAGAAGCCCTGCAGGCTGCTCAGGTGTGTGTGCCCCACCCGAGCCTCGGCTCTCGCCCTGCCAGAGGACAGAGTGGCAGCTGCCCACCCCCCAGTGCATCTCGTCCCTCCCTGTTTCTTAGGTGTTCCCTCTACCTGGAGCCTCCTTTCCTGTTCTCTTCGCCTGGCTGATGCCTGTTTATCCTTTTAACTTAGAAAAATTTATTTATCTATTTTTTGAAGACAGGGTTTTGCTCTGTCGCCCAGGCTGGAGTGCAGTGGCACAATCACGGCTCACTACAACTTCAAACTCTTAAGCTCAAGCGATCTCCTGCCTTAGCCTCCCGAGCAGCTGGGATTATAGGCATGTACCACCGTGCCCAGCTAATTTTTTAATTTTTTGTAGAGATGGGGTCTTGCTATGTTGCCCAGGCTGGCCTTGAACTCCTGGCCACAAGACTGTCCTGTTGGAGGTGCGCCTGTGGGCGGCTCCCTGGAGCCTGCGTGCATTCCCACGTAGGGTGCACGGGACACGCATGGGGAACAGACTGTCCCGAGACAGGAAATGGGTCCTGGGGAGGGAGGTCGGTCTCCCCCTCCTGTGGGGCTTGTGGTTGTTAGGGTCCATGCCCAAGCAGAGCAGATGTGCTTAACAGTGTGCCTGGGGGGAGGGGAACCTCGGCCCTGCCCCGGAGGCGTCCACGGTCAGACAGGCTGGCCCAGCAGGACCCAGGGGACAGCTGCTGGGAGGGGCACTTCCCCGCCGGCTGTGCCGGACGTCTCTGAGGGTTCTCCCTCCATAAGCCGGGCCTTCCCGAAATCGGCCTGAGGCTCTGAGGCCTCTTCTGTGCTCCGAGGAGTCCCAAGATGGGTGAGGGGACCGTGGGGAGCAGACAGTTGCTGCATGGGAGCAGACTAGAATGTGCTGGGCTTCGGTATTACAGATGTGACTTCGTCTTCAAGGTTGAAAGGACTAGGAGGTCTGGGGAGCCTCCTTAGCGAGGACCCCCAGTGCTGCCCAGGCCGCCTTGCAGCCTCTGGCCCTCGGTGCTCGCTCCCCAGGCTCTGCCCCGGCCGCGCCTCGCTGTGTGCACCGCCCCCGAGGCCCAGTGCTGCTGGGGCGTCCCCCATATCGGTCTGAGCAGCCCCTGAGCCCGGGAGTCCCTGCGTCCCAAGGAATGTGACGAAAGGAGGAGCCCTGAAGAGGCTGGGCAGGACAGAGGTGGGGGCAGGACAGAGGTGGAGGCAGGACAGAGGTAGGGGCAGGACAGAGGTGGGGCAGGAGAGAGGTGGGGCAGGAGAGAGGTGGGGGCAGGACAGAGGTGGGAGCAGGAGAGAGGTGGGGGCAGGACAGAGGTAGGGGCAGGAGAGAGGTGGGGCAGGACAGAGGTGGGGCGACAGAGGTGGAGAGAGTGGGGCCAGGAAGAGACGGTGGGGGCAGGACGAGGGTGGGGGCAGGACAGAGAGGTTGGGGCAGGACAGAGGTGTGGGGCAGGAGCGAGTGGGGGCAGAGACGAAGTGCAGAATGGGAGCAGGAGAGAGGTGGGGCCAGGACAGAGGTAGGGGCAGGAGAGAGGTGGAGGGGCAGGACACAGGTGGGGGCAGGACAGAGGTGGGGGCAGGAGAGAGGTGGGGGCAGGACAGAGGTGGAGGCAGGACAGAGGTGGGGCAGCCAGACGGTGGTGAGGGAGGGCAGCAGGGACAGAGTGGGGCAGGACAGAGGTGGGGTGCTGGCGTGGAGCCTTCAGCTTACAGCCCTCCTGGCCAGAAACTGTCACAAAGCAGTGCTGAGCGCCCACGAGCGCCCTTTCCAGGGCATCCCCCACCTGCAACTTCACTTGACCCACGTAACAGCCCTTGGAGGCAGGGACATTATCCCACTTGAAAGAGGCACTGTGGAGGCCCAGAGGCTGAGGAGAGGCCGGGTGACACGGTTACGTGAACACAGACCTCAGGGCCTGGAGAGAAGCCACACCAGGTCGCACAGCCCTGCGGCAGGAGGGTGGGGGCTCCCGCCCACCTTGTCTTTGTTTCTGGGGTGAGCTGAGCAGGTCGCCATGGATCCCAGAGCCTCTTCTCAGACATAGGCTGACGTTGGTGACAGTGATGGGGGAGACAGGCTGAGGAGGGTGGTCACAGGGGGGATGCATACCCTTGGGGTGTGAAGCTGTGTGAAGTCTCCTTCCTGTCATCCCGTGCTCTCTGTGGGTCAGGGCCACAGGTCGCATTTAGGAACCCAATCCATGTCTATGCTCTGATGCCCTGGCATCCCTCTCTCCCCACTGGGCGGCAGCCCTCACGCCTCTCTGGCTTCCTGGCTCTGGCGTGGCACGTGGCCACAGCAGCCCAGCCCCAGCCCTGCCTGGCCCCACCACACTGTGTGGTCACTGACTACCCCCCTTGCCCGGGCTGTGAGGGTCTCGGGCCAGGGCTGCAGTCTATCCATCCTTGGACCCCCGAACCCCTCGTGGGGCCTACACAGCGAGGGTTTTGCTGGGTGGCACAAGAGCCGGCCTGGATTGGCAGACTTACCTCTTGGGCTCGGCGTCCTCCATTTCCACCCGTAAGCGCACCCCACCCTCCTGGTTGCTGGTCACCACAGAACCGGCACCCGTCAGGCCCTGGGGCTCCTGCTGGTTGTGCCAATCACTGATGCAGCTGCTTCCTGAGAATAAACCAGCTCTCTCCGAGGAGCCGGGAGAGCCGGGGAAGGAATGCCGTGATTCTACTCACTGCCAGTGCCTTGGGCTCGTGGCCCACCCCGCCCCCTCTTGGGCACTTTCCTTCCCCAGCCACTTGTCCTCCTGAAGGTCTGAGGCCCTCCACTGGTTAGGCCTGGGATGGGGACGTGGATCCTGAGGGCTGCAGGGTGCTGCCCAGGGTGACACGGCGTGAGAGGCAGCACATGGGACTGATTGCTCGGATAACGAGGACGTTCAACAATAGCACAGAACAGGTCTGCAGGGCTGGTCAGCCACTCACAGGTCAGCCGCTCAGCCAGAAACTGTGGATCAAACTAGCGGCCACGCCCACCGGGCCTCGTGAGGGCTTCTGCAGGGCCACGCGCCTCACAGACCACGGCTCTCAATCCCCAAACGGCAGTGGAAGGAGCAGTACTCTCCTCTTGTCACCATGAACACAGACATATCGAGAGGCTAAGTAACTCGCTCGCCCCAAGTCAAGCACAGGGTAGAACCAGAACTTGAACTCAGGTTTGCCCAGAGCACCAAGGAGGCAGAGAGGAGAGCCAGGAAGTGGCTCTGCGACCAGGGTGGGGTACAAGGACCTGTCCCCCCACCCAGCCTGGCCAGCAGCCCGACCAGGAGTTGGACTCAGGTCTGCCAGCTTCACACCATGGCCTTTGCACAGAGGTCACCTCCCTGGGTGGCCTCTGTCGAGGACTGAGCCTGGAAACTGGCCACGGTGGTGTCCATCCAGGGAGCTGGCAGCCTCCTCCCTCCTCGAAGCCTTCCCAGCCCTCCTGGTCCTAACGCCACGTTATTGGCCACATACATCTCTCTCTTTTCTCCTTTCGAAGATGACTCATGAGATGAAATGAGGCATTTGGAGTAAATGATGATGGAACTGAATTATTCCAACTCCTTCAGATTCTGAAATGACTTTAATGTGCTTATGTTTGGCATTAAGCATTGAAATGGACAGTGGGTTCACAGGATTTATGTTAATTTGTGAAATGCCTCTAGGTTCCAGGCTGCAGCCCAAGACCAGCCGAGACAGAAATGTCCAGGGAGCTCACAGCACCCAGTGCCCACTTCCCTGTGCCGGTTAATGCCAGCATCTTTCTTCCTGGTCTTTTTGACAACTTGGGTTTGGGCCGCGCGATCTCACGCTTGCTCTCAGAAAGCCCAGCCCTGTTCCTTGGGTGGGGAGGGGCTGCTCTGTGACTGCTGCCAGCTTTGCCAAGAAATCCTGAAGCCCAGGGTCTGCTGTAGCCCAGGGCCGGACTGTGTCGTTAGGGCATGGGGCTTTAGGAACCTGAACTTGGGGCTTGAAGGAAAAAATATCAGGCCAGGCGCAGGCTCACGCCTGTAATCCTAGCACTCTGGGAGGCCAAGGCAGGTGGATCGTTTGAGCTCAGGAGTTTGAGACCAGCCTGAGCAAGAGTGAGACCCTGTCTCTACTAAAAATAGGAAGAAATTACTTGGATAGTTAAAAATATATAGAAAAAATTAGCTGGGCATGGTGGCACATACCTGTAGTCCCAGCTACTCAGGAGGCTGAGGCAGAAGGACTGTTTGAGCCCAAGAGTTTGAGGTTGCTGTGAGCTAGGCTGACACCACAGCACTCTAGCCCAGGCAACAGAGTGAGACTCTGTCTCGAAAAAAAAAAAAAAAAAAGGCCAGGCGCAGTGGCTCATGCCTGTAATCCAGCACTCTGGAGGCAAGGCAGGCGCTGGCTCCGAGGTCAGGAGTTTGAAACCATCCGCAGGCAAGAGCAAAACCCCGTCTTACTTATAAATAGAAAGAAATTAATTGGCCAACTAAAAATAGTATTAAAAAATTAGCAGGCATGGTGGTACATGCCTATAGTCCCAGCTACTCGGGAGGGCTGGGAGGCAGTGAGAATTGCTTGAGCCCAGGAGTTTGAGGTTGCTGTGAGCTAGGCTGACGCCACGGCACTCACTCTAGTCTGGGCAATAAAGTGAGACTCTGTCTCAAAAAAATATATATATCAGAAGCCCTGTTATGTTCATGACTCCCAAGTGCCCAGGAGGTCCCTTTACATAGAGTAGGCACTTGGTGGTGTTTGCTACAAGGACTGTCCCAGTGCCGTGCCCACACGCAGTCCCGAGCAGAGGCCTCCTCTCTCGGCTGGCACTGGGGAGAGCATGTAACGCAGAGGCTATTATTTGCAGAGGAGTGGGCAGAATGGAGGGCCACGCAGGTCATCGAGGCAGCTGGCATCCAACCCTATTACCACCCTCTAGCCCTGAAACAGTCCTCCCAGAGCCTCATGAGATGAGAGGCTGGAGGAGAGGAGGCTCGTAGGAGGGAGAAGCCCCCGAAACAGCAGCCCTGGGAGGAACAGGAGGGACCTCTCTCCCCTCCCGCACTTGCTCCCACCCGGGCTTGCCACGCCCACGGGCATCAAAGAACAAGCGAGTCATTGACAAAGTCCAGACAGTCCAGCCCCCAAGACCCAGGCAGGGCAGAGAAGAGCAGAGAACAGACAGGGGAGGGCTGGCAAAAGAAGAACGAGGTGACCGGAGGCCTCCGGCATGTCACCCAAGCTCTTCTGCAGGAGAAACACCTCTGCCAGAGCCCCGGTAAGTCTAGGGGCTGCTCAGAGCAGAGGGGAGACCAGGGCAGTCCACGTGAGGGGTGTGGCCCCCCTGGAGGAAGCTGAAGACCTTGAGCACAGGAGACAGTGCAGCAGAAGGGACACAGGGTCAGAGGCCAAGAAAGGCTAACTCTACCTCATGCTGGCAGGTAGAGGCTGTCTGGGGAGGGGCGTCGGGCTGGAAGCCGAGCCAAGGACAGGAGGGGCCTGGAACCCATGAAGTTGGGCGTTCAGGGCCCAAATGCACCTTCACTGGGCCCTGCCTGCCAGGGCGGGGCAGGACTGACCCGGACAGGGGCCTTCACACTCGCTCTTCCCCTGCCGGCTGGGTAGCAATGGGCTTCCTCCCAGATGCTCACAGGAAAATGAGCACCCAAGAAACCAGCCCCAGGGAGCTGGAGAGGGCATTGACCTTGGCCACCAGTGGGCGCCGCCGGGCGCCAGTCAGGGAGCCCTCCGTCCCTGTGGCGGGGTTCCCAGAGCGTGCTCCCCAGCCCCGGAGGAGCACAAGTCGCTGTAGGGAGAGGGTTCCTCGGCCACCTCAGAGGAGAAGCCCTGCCTACTCTGCTGCTGCCTCAGCACCGCCAGGGTCTCTGGCCCATTAAAGGTTCTGAGAAGTCCTGCAAGGGAGACAGCTCCTACAGAAGGCTTTGATCTGTCCACTGCCCACCTGTGCTGTGCCAGGGGCCTCCCTGTACTCGGGTCAGTCTGCAGAATGGGACAAACATGTGTATCAGCCTCCAGGCTGAGAGGACCTCAGCTGAACAGCCTTCCCCTCGCCCCCTGCCCCCTCCTCTCTCCTGAGCTCTCCAGAAGGTGAAGCCGGGAAGCTCTGGCTCTCACAAAGCAGCAGGCAGCTCCCCACCTGCCCTAGCTTCTGTGCCCCCCTCCTCCCACCTCCTCCGGTGTGCCCATCCTGAGATCCTCGGAGGATGCAGTTTGCAGGCCTAACACCAGGTGGCCAGACAGCCAAAGGTGGCATGCAGATCCCTCAGGGGGTCATGGAGTCACCCAAGGTCACAACCGCCACCCTCCTGCCATCCCGCTGTACGGCCCAGGTGTGTCCTTGCCTGCCACTACTGTCAACACCAAGCCCCCGCCCCAGCAGTAGCCAGGCCTGGGAGTGCCGCGGCGCCCACACCGGGCCGGGGAGAGCTGGGGCCTCCTATCTGCTCCCCGTGTGCGGGCCGGCGTCCTGTGCTCCTGCCGGCGTCCTGTGCTCCTGAGCTCTGGCTGTGGGCTGGGCCCGCACAGTCTACGCGACCTGGGTCTCCCAGGTGCCAAGAAGCCCCAAGGCCAAGAAGGCCCCAGCTCCCTTCTCCCCTGCCCTTGTCCCAGTGGTGAGAATCAGCCCGGAGTCCGCTCCAACCCGGAGACTTCCCTCTGTGGGCAGTGGCCCTCCTCTGCCCGCTGCCAGCCGGCAGCACCCCTTCCTGCGGCCCAGGCCCTCCCAGGCGCGGCTCTGGGTCTGGGCCCCTGGCTACCCACTGCCCCAGCACATCCTGGCCCCCACCATCACAGATCTGTATGGCACTGTGACCTCTCACAGGTCCGATCCTAGCAACTTTCCCAAGTGGCACGCAAGGTTGGCGCTTGGCCCTTCCTTTGGAAGTCCCAGCCCATCTGGGGTCATCGGGCCTCGTGCCAGACGTGTTAACGTCTCTCACTTGTCCTCACCACCTGAGGTGGACGCCTGTGCTCCATGAAGTCCCCTGCCCAGGATCCCCTCGCCAGGAGCTGCTCTCCCGACCCAGCTGCCACCCAGCGAGGGTGGAGGATGGGGCTACCCTGGAGACTCTAAGGAGCCCCCGGCCTGAGCCCTCCCTGACCGATGACACCCACCTCCCAGGCTCTGCTTTCAGGCTCCTGCCCCAGGCTGAGCCGAGCCCAAGTCCTGGAATACCATAAATACCATAAATTCAAACTGTGCACTGTGTCCCTTCTTGCCCTGCATAGTATTGTCACCTCTGGTTTGCAGTCTCCAAATGGCCAGGAGCCATCCCTCTCCCCCTCAGGCTGTTTCCACCTGAACTTCCCCCGCTCCGGCCCAGAGGGTCTGACCGGGCTGAGGGAGCGGGGCCGCTGCCTGCAGGAGCGGGGGACTGGCCAACGCGGCGCCCGCCTGGGGCGCCCTGGTGAGGCCCCTCTCCTTCCTGCAGCTGTAGGGTGACAGGTGCGGCTGGGTGGGGCGGGGCGTGCATCAGGGACCAGACAGTGCCCAGGCTTCCATCTTGAGCCCCTGGGCGCTCACCTGACCTGTCCGTGCCACCTTCCTCATCTGAGGACTG